CAAACCTAGAATCAAAAGAGGGTATAAAATCATTTTACAGAGTTAACAGAGTATTCAGACTGAAAATGCATATAAAGTGTCCAGTACTGGGTACAGTAATGAGAAAACATTTAAAATATAGTAGCTGGTATATTGTGTCTTTAAAAATATGCATCTGTTTAGAAAAACTTAGATATTCAACCGCTTTTTCTAAATAGAAAAGTTCCATGGAGTGATATCCACTTACCTTAATAAAGAATAGAAGGGGCCTGGCGTGGTGGCGCATGCCTGTAATCCCAGGGGCTTGGGAGGATAAGACACGAGGGTCTTGGGTTCAAAGCAAGCCTCAGCAACTTAGTAAGGCCTTAAGCAACTTAGCAAGACCCTGTCTCAAAATAAAATATACAAGGGGCTGGGGATGTGGCTTAATTGTGAGCACCCCTGTGTTCAATCTCCAGTATCAAATTAAAGGGGGTCTGTATCTCATACAATTAGCTTTAACCAATACTTAACAATGTGCCTAGGGACATCTGTGTAACAAAATTACATGCAGTGATTTTCATCATTTATATTATTGGAGCGAAATGAAAGAGGGTCTACAAGCTCAGTTAAAGAGAATCCCTAGAGGACATGAATGAAGAAGTGATGAAGTTATTTCATTTTTCCCCCTCTTTCTGGAGGAAAAACAAGACACACAGTCGAAGAGTTTGGGGTGAAAAATTCTCCAAAGGCTTTGACATGCATACTGCAGTTCACTGCAGAGATTTGGAAACCCCTTTTAAATTCAAGTAAAATCACTTATTCAGATTTGATGCTTGTAATTCAATGAGAAAAATATTTACAATTGAGTACAAGTATCACACATAGAGATTAAGTGGTTCATTAGCTTAAGACAAACTGGAATCAGTGAATTTTTGTGTGTGTTCAGCTCGTTTGAAAATTATATGTCTGTGTGTATTCACATATTCACACACGGGCAATAAATACATGTTAGAGGAGTTAATTCAGACATTTACAGCTATTATCTGTTTTGGTTTAGTAAGTTTGCACAATTTGAACACTTACCTCATTTAATTCATACCTTTTTGTGGCAATTTGGTGTCAAAACTTTGTTGTTTTTTGCTTTCCATTGACATACTGTAAATACTAGACATTGTCAACATTTTAGAACAATCTCCCCAACTTCAAGAAATTAATATTGATCTGTGCAAACATTTATTTAAGGAAGATGTGTTTCTGATGAGAGTATAGACTTAGAATCCAAAATATCATCATCTATCTATCTGTAAGTAGGAACTCTCTACAAAATATCATCATCAACTATCTGTAAGTAGGAACTCTCTACAATTCCTAAGAATTCTCTATGATTTATTCATTTTGGCAGTAGTCTTGTATTAAGCTTTAAGGAAAAGGCAGAGAGAGAAAGGAAAAGAAACTGTGCACACCTGGTTGCTGTGTCTCACTGGAGAGCATCTATGAGTATTTCACTTAGTGTTCAGGTAACCATAAGAGGTTACCATAAAGAGACTGCTAACCTCATTCACAAGGTGGTGTTATATAAACACAAAGTCTGAAAGTAGTACACTGAGCGGAAAAGCTAACATAAGCAAATCCAGCAATGGAGGACTGGCATCTTGCCTCATCTTCAACTTTTGAAGAAATGTAAAACTTCTGTAAAAGGCAGCCCAGCCTACAACTCATAGCCTAAGAGTGCAGATATCATAGTACAGAATCTTCCCTGAATGACAAATAGGTGAGGGTGGCAATATATCCCCGACAATGAATTTGGAAGAAGTCTCCAATCACCAACTCATCATCCACGTAGGTACTGGTCAAAGAGTGGCATTTATAAGACCAATGACAATGCACTCACTTTTACTTTAACTTCCTTGCAATTATGGATAAGAAACAACAGTCATTAGTGCTTTACAATGAAGCACTGGGAACAAAAGGCTATAACTTGAATGCAGGTCTTCGACCATATCACACTGTTCTTTTAAAATACAGCATGATTTTCTAGGTGAAATTGTTTATATAGCACATATGAGGGCCAAACACCTCTCTCTGGTCCAACAGAAATGACAAGAAAAATGAGTCATAAGTAAACTTCTGAATGACATGCCCTTTGGCATATCTATCACCAAATACATTTTTCTGTATATATAAATATCGCTTCCTCTGCACAGTTTTTGCCCAGAGTTAAAATCCAGATGTAAAATTTTAAATTATAGATACCAAAAACACTTAAAGCTACTGTATCTTAATTCCTCACACTACCAATTAAGAAATTTTGCCCTAAAATATGAATTTTCCCTGCAATTCTCTACAAATCATCATTAATAAGATAATAGGGCAGAAAAATTAGTGGGGAGTTCATTTGAGTTTTTCCCCCTAAAGGCTGGCTTTAGTGAGAAAATTTATCTACATTTCAATTCTAACACATTGTGAATGATAAATGAACTCTACTGAATAAAGGACATGACATTGCTCTGCCTCAGATTTCTATTTCCTTTCATCAGAATATTTTACCTAGCAAAGTTCATAGCTCAGTGCTCGTCCCCTTATAAGGAATAGATAAATGAAGCCCAGCATTCTGCACCCAGGTTCAGGGCATGACTCAAAATAGACAAAAAGAAATAGTCTGAGAGGCACAAGGCCAGGCAGAAAGCTGCCTCACCATTTTGATTTCTATCAGGTATGTCTGCTCCAGCTCCTACTAGGAAGAGCAGTAGCAATGCTATTTCATGTTGCTTTCATTGGCCGGTTCAATGGCTGCAGGACCAGAGAGGGTGAACAGATATTTGCCCTGAAGCTTCAAGCTGAACTTGAAAGGAAAACACATTACCCTCCATCACTTCCCCCTGGATCTTTCTGCACTCTCTTGTGTATTATTTGAAGAATAGTTTCCTTATTCAGACAACCTCCTGCATAATCCCACATAGCAATGGCTATAACCCTGGTAGGTTACAAATGTTGAATTGATATTGCTAAGGGGAGTGCTTGAGTCAAAAGGGAAAAAAAATACTAGCATTCTTTTACAGTTGCCACGAGAAAAGTCAATTTATTGTCACTGGTTACTTTTTGAACTTGTGAAACATGGTGGCTAAATCCCTCATTTTATGTTAGAGATGAATACATCAGCTAAGAACAGGGCAAAGTGAGAAACATCAAATTTATAGAAAAGAAAATACAAGAGGTGTTGACCCTCAGAGTTCAAGTGGTATAAAGTGGGAAACATTGTAGGAAAAATGTTTACAATTCATTTTTTTTTTTTGCTATTACAACATATGGCATTTTCTGAGTAGGATAATATCAAACTAAAACATTAACCATTGCAAACATTATTAGTATATCTTATTGTGGACACCAGAGCAATTACTAGCCCTCATTTGCTGGTACCAGAAAATAATGCAAAGAAATCTGTAGTCATCTATGTTTTCCAGATGTTAAAAAAATAGAAAAATATTAATTCTATAAAATACAACAAAGATAGGTCATTCTCATTTCTGAGTAATAAATACATCAGAGTAAAAAACATTAGTATAAGGCAAAAGAGTAAATTTTGCACCTCTCTGTTGAGATTATTGAAAACATTTGGCCAGTAAAAAGAAAAACTTGCCACAAAATGTCACAATGGTGGGAAAATCACTGATATAAAAACAAAGAGCTCTACAGAGAAATACACTAGAATATTAGAAAGGCCTATAAAAGTTATCTATGCTATGATAAAAAAAAAAACTATTTTCTATTTTGGATTCTTAATTGTTTTATTTATTTGCCTATATTTTTACAACTCCTACTTAGCAACATATATTCATTGCTGTTCTTTGTTGTGGGGGTTGGGGAGACATCTGACAAAGGTAACTAACTCATATGGCAAAAATTTAACTTTCAAATGAAATCTAAATAAACTATTAGTAAAGTCAATCAATATAATGAAAATATAGGTATAGTTACTATGATCTTTAACTTTGCCACAGAGATCACAAGGAAAAGAAAATAGGTTCTAGATGCTAAGTATTTATTGTCATTTAAAAAAAATCCCTGATAGGGAAATATCATCTCTTCATACATAAGAAATACAACTGTAATACATTATAAACTAGAGCACAAAATGTCATGGTTGCATACCGTGTTGTTATCAATAGCAGGTATAGTATACAGATCACACAGTACTAGGATGTAAATAAGTCCCCACAATGGGAAAAGCACCACAGATGACTCTTTCAGGAAATCACACTACTATTTTACTTGGAAATTAAATTAAAAATTTCAGACCTATGTATTCCAAGCTTTACTCAAAAAGTTTATATATCTCAAATTATAGAGTTATAGCCTTTCACTCCCAGTACTTCATTGTAAAGCACTAATGACTGTTGTTTCTTATCCATAATTGCAAGAAAATGAAAGTAGAAGTGAGTGCATTGTCATTGGTCTTATAAATGCTACTATTTGACCAGTAGCTACGTGGATGATATATATTTAGCTGTGAAAGTAAGTCTGGTGCTTATCTTGCCCATTACTGAGGGAGTTTTTAATGAAATACTCCTAATTATCATTATTAAACATGAATAATCATGCTGAAAAACAGCAACAAAAGTAAGCAATCAGTATTAATGCAAATGGAAAAACTGATCTTTTAAAAAATGTTAGATACATCACCTCTCATAAGAGCATTTAAATTTCTCAGTTATGAATGAATTTCCTACCAATGATTTGAGACCACTGAACTACTATTTAAATAAGAGAGGAGCAGTGTCATAAAGGAGTATTCCACTGAGTTGAGAAGTTAATTTAGTTTCTAAAAGTGCTCACGTTCACAGCTGAAAAGTAGCTTAGATATTGGGACTAGTTAAATTTTAAGTTACAAAAATGTTTTATAAAGAAAGAAAAATTGTTTGCTTCCCATTCCAAGATGCACATGTGAATGAATCAGTGAGGAAGAAATCAGAGTTGAAATAAAGAATGTTAATATTCATTCCAAATCATTCCTTATAATAATACAGTAAAACGAACACTAGTGAAGGCAATCTTGAAAATTTATTTTTATTGATCAAAAGGAAAAGACGGTTGCTGAAATAATACAATTGCCATTTTAGGTCTTCAGAAAGACTAAGAATATCAGCATCTACCAAAATACTATGTGAACAGGAGATAACAAGATAAAATTTAATGCAATACAAGGCATGAGTAAATTGATAGGTAAGGTTCTTACATTATCTTTGATATAATTCTTAATTTTATATTATCACTACATATTATTACAATATTTATTAATACAATTTGTAAAAGCAGAGAAACAAACTTAGTACTTCACAATTTAGGCTAATAGATATTAGAACAAATAAGGCCACCAAATATCCATCTGTATACATTCAATAGAAATAACTATACATAATGAATAATTCAAATTTGAAATCAGAAAGGATCACATAACTGGATGCAAAGTATAACATTTTTAATACATGATTTCTAGCTGTTCAAATGGCTTGGAAATTTGGATCCTTAAAATTTGAAATACACTCCCTCACCTATTGTTTTCAAGTTGTATATACATATTGGTATACGCAATAATTTCAATCTGATTTGGCTAAACAAACTGTATTTTGAAAAACTTATACATTATAAATTCTGTGACAGAAGAAGCAAACAAAGCTCACATATGCATGTGGTGGAGCTGAAATCAGGCCTCTTCAGTTAGGCAGATCCACATTCTGAAGGATGAGGGCCACTCGGCTTGGAATGTACACCTAAGTCAACAGAATCATGTCAGTGCAATTGAAAGAATGTTGAAATGCTGTCGTTATATCAGAGTGACATATACATAATACAGTCTCACATTTGACTAAATTTACAGTTATTTTTAAACTCTAATAGGTCTCTGAAGGCTTAATTTCACAGTTTAAACAGTTTTGACAGCAATGTAAGTCTATTTTAAACCAATGGCCACTAGAGGGCTCCATATTATTTAAAAAGTCCAAGGTTCACACTCAAATGACATAAATGACACTCTTATTGCCATGTTTAGGCATTATTAAGTGGTGAATGAAGGCTGACCTGCAGGTCACAATGTTATCTATACAGATAAATAAATGCAATATACAAAGCATTGTTTTGCATCAAGATAATTTAATTTATAAACTCACCTTTTTTAGGTCTTTTAAATTTAAGACAAAAACTGAAATGTAACACAAGGGATCCCAAGAACATTTTGGCCTCTCATTAATAACCAAGTAAGAACTTTTCATTATACTTGAAAAAGAATGCATGTCTTTTCCATTCCATGCATAGGGCTGACTCAGCTCCTTCCTCCCTATATCTGCCTTTTCAGCTCATCTCATTTGCACCTTTCCCCTTCATCTGCTGAGCTCCAGCCAAGGGATCCTTTCAGTTCCTTTAACATGCCAAACTCCTCCCTTCTTCTGAATTTTTGTCTATAATGTGCCATTTGCTCCAAACACTCTTGTCCTTGTTTGTTCCTTTCTCTCTTAGATCTTTAAAAATCCCAGCATGAACAGGCTTTCTTGACAATCCTAGATATGATAGATTGTCTATTTTCAATCATAGCCCCATTTTGTTTTTTTCTAAACCATTAACACAATTTTGTGATTTTTTTTTTCAAGTCGATTTAAAAGGCAGAGACCATATGGTTTTTAATTTCTCACACTAAGTAGTTGCCATTGGACAAAGTAGTTGGCAATAATGGTTGAATAAAAGAATATATAATGAATAAGAAAACAATAGTAGACCAATGTGCGTGTATTTCTAAGATATTTTCTGGTGTACCTACAGATGATTTAAGTTTTATAAAATTTAGAAATGATTTGAACTCTTTGGTGCTTATCTATGTGTTATTCTTTATGTAACAACATTTAACTATTAACAAAGTAAACAGTAAAAGCATTACAGGTTGTCATCACTGTGACAATCTCTATTTCTCAGTTTGCTAATATTTTACCATAGTCACTTTATCTTTAAATAAAACATTAACTGATGAATAAAAAAATAAAAAGTCTTTTGGAGATTAGGACCAGAATAAAAGATGCAAAGCAAAAAAAATAAATAAATAAAAAATGAAAGAACGGAAGAGTTCATTTGCCTTGGATAAGACTTATATGTCCAATGCATCTGAACTCTGCAAATGAACACAATGTTTTTTCCTAAGGTTTTTGCAGTGAAGAATTCTTACAACATTAAAAACAAAACAAAACAAAATAAACAAATAAAAAACCCAACTCAGATATACCAACAGAAATGGTTATTTTTGAAGATCAAAGATTAAGGCAGTTTTAAAATGATGACATTTAAAGAAAATTACATTAAAAATGTAATGGTTAGAGAAGAGCTAATTTAATTTTCAATTAAAAGTAGCAGTGATTTGAAAATGGTATTTGAGAAAAATGGTATTTGTGCACAAATGCTAACAGTCACTGTGCAACTCAATGTCTCACAGTCTGATTTGCAATCAAATATTTCCAAAAATGTAAATATTATATCTTGTAGACATTAAGTGTGGGGAAACCAATGCCACATACCCATTGTATTTAATGTCTTATAACTTTTAAACTAACTGCTAATGTCATCCCTTCTCTGCAGTATTTGTTCTTTGACTATGATACATAAGATGTTACAAGGTTGTTTCAACAAAGGGAAAGTCAAGGTATGGATGATCAAAACAGGACTATTACCAACTATCCAGGATGATCCAGTCTAAAGAATGGCATATTTACACAATCAAGCTCTGACAAAAGCAACACAGACAAAAGCAAAGGAGAAATTAAATAATTCAAGAGGCTGATTCAAACCATCTGTAATCATCTTAAATCATCTGTAGGTACACCAGGAAGGCCTCAAGCCATCAAAATTGGCAAAACCTTGGACAGTGATGTACCTTTACTCTGCGCAAACTTATAAGGGGATTTTCCATGAATGTATTAAGGGGTCTAGTCTATGTATTTATGTTGAAGGTTCATGATTACTGGGTTTAACTAATTGGTAGGACAACGGGTAATAATCAGAATGGTTGTGAATTATTCTGGCATGAGCACTTAAGTTCAATACTGATCTAAACTTCTCCATAGTGCCAGAAAATGGACACAAAAATTTCTGCTGTCTATATTATAAATGTTTCTCTGATAAAATACGGTCCCACAATGCTGGTAAAAGGACTCTGATAAGTCCATGTTTCCTGATAAAGTTGCAAGGAAACACATTAATCAGGCCTAGGGAAGATAGTGATATGTCTTTCTTAGTGTATGGCACAGTGATATATCAGAACAAGTACAGTCAAGCTCCTCCTTAAATCCTATGTATTTATGGTACCTACTGTTTGATTCATCATCTCATAATGATTTTATTAGTGCAATATAAATAAAAACTAGATACTGAAAACTCATGAGCAGTCCGGCTCTCTTTGGAACTTGTGATATTTTAGCCAGCTCAAATTTAAGAGTAAAAAAAAATGCCATAAGAAATTTAAGTTTGCAATATGTGTACTACATTTTATTTCTTGGCATTTAGTGGTTTAAAAATGTTCCAAGAACTCTCATTAAACAATGTTGGCTATTTAATGTAAGGAGCTTTATGATGCCAATTCCAGCCATACTTAGAGACCTTTTAATGCTATCTGCTCAAAAACCTTCAGTTGATAATTATATAATGTCATTAACAGGAATATTGTGTAATTATATTTTTTTCACTGCAGTGTTAATTACCAGAATGTGTTTATGTTGCTCTAGAGCCTTTGTGGCATAAACAACATGAAAGAATTTCCTCAAGCAAGTAATTTTTCTTAACTACGCCTATTTATGGAATTTTGAGTTATCTTCTTTATTAAGGTTCTTAGTATGTAAATCAACTTTTTTAGAGGTTAGGAAATGACTACCAATTATACTAAAGGACTAAAGATAATCAGAACTAATCCTTAAAATGAGACAATTACAAACTTCAACAATTTAGGGTGCTGAATATTTAGGGCTAAATACTGGCTATATAACCCTCATTTTATAATTTTAACTAGAAATTTTGACACACATATAAAGAGGAAAGAAACATGAACAAATATTTAAGTATATTAAATTTAAATAAATATATTAAGTATATTAAATATAAACAATTTTTAATAGCAATACACATATCTAGAGATCTAATACACATTTAAAGAGATCATTTAGTATGCATGTTACAGTAATACATATTTGTTAACATATCTACTATTAGTCTTTCAGCATTAAATATTTTGTAGTGAGGATCACAGGAAGAACAAAGAGAATGTAATATATGGCTATGAGTTTCATTTTTCACAATTATATTCATAGTCAACTTGTCTAAAGAAAGCAGAATAGTAATATAATAATTCACTTATTGAGAGTCAAATGCATGTTAATCAACCCCATTATTTTGACTAATTTAATGACTTACTTATTACAGTAACCATTACTACAGCAAAGAAAGTAACTGATCATACCGTGATCTATTTAGTTATTCATCCATGCAAAGTGTTATTTTTCTCTAGGATCATAATTGAGTTGCAAGAATTAATTATACGAGTTTTAAAACACAGTGTCAAACATTTGCAAAGGCAAAATTTTAAAATGGAAAAGTTTAATACCATAAAATTTCATCTTTAAATTTTCTTAGAAATTGTTAAATTTATCAATACTATGTTCATATATAATGATAGTAGGATGAAAACATTCAATGGAAAACACATCATACCTTTTAATAGTCTGCACCTTTGCTTTAAAACTTTACAAATAATTTTGAAAAATAAAATTAACATTTAAAGTAACTTCAGTTATCACATCCATGCTTAGTTCATAAATTATTTTCTAAATCAAAATAAATTTTATTTTAATTCATTATTTGGTATCAGGGCTAGGAGAAAATTGATAATAATAATTATTTCTATATAGAAATGAATATTATCACATCTAATTTAGAAACATAAGAAAAAGTAAATGCTGAGAATTAAAAATTTTTCAGTTAGGAAAACTAAAGTTTTCATAATTTTGGATATAGCCAAAGTCATATTCCAAATAAATTGTTTTCAATAATTAAAACTGAAGAACAATGAAAGATACATCTATGCCAAACCACCCATTTAAACTACAAGTCTATTGTGAATCCCCAAATTTAGAATGAAAATAAACAAATCTACTTCTTATTGTTAAGTAGCCTAACTGGCAAAGTAATTAATGTAAAACCTATTGCTTTATTCACATTTTTATCACTGAGACTGCTTCAGAAATGTAAATAAATTTAATTCATTTAGGTCTCAATAATCTACTTTCTTTACTTATGCCATGGAATTTGAATTGGTGAACCAGAGAAGAAAAAGGAAGCCTCACACTCATAGAGTTTAATGTGTAAGTTCCTATATCAGGAAGCAAAGGATAGAGAAAAGATTATGCTCAAATGGAGTTTTCCATGATTGCCAGTAGAGCAGAATGGAGAAGTTCTGCCCTACCACTTTTTAGCATTTGAGAGGTACTTTGACCTTAGCAAATATATTTCAACAGTGGTACATATGCAGTTATCCCCTGGCTTCATGGTTTCAACTGACAGAGCACAGAAGTGATGGTAGGGTGGTACCTGCTGATGCTGCAGCACATGAGGTTATTTTAAGATTCCTTCAAGCTCTGTTTGTTGGTATCTTTGAAAACAGATTTGACACTTATTCAGTAGATCCTTTGGATTATTGAGCTTGTAAATTAAGCGTTAGCAAATGCTGTGTACTAGTGATGATGGGCAGAAATTTCATGAAAGAAGAAAAAGTTCTATTTTATCCTTGATTCCTGCCTTTATTATAGGAATGTGGGAGGCAAGTGTGATCTCACTGGTGGTAGTATGTAACCCACAGCACTTTGGGTAGTGTTCAAGCAACTTGATTGGGTTCTAGAGCATATAAATCAGTCTAATAAGGAGTTCCATTATAAAATGCATTCCTATAGTACATTTGTTCAGGGGGTTCAATTATAATGAGGCATTATTATAATAATAATTTGTTCACATGATTCTTTTTGCTTTGGCTCTTTGAAGAATAACTCTGGCAAGAAGGAAGTCTTTTCTTCTAAGATTTTCTGTATTTTGTTGATCTATGAGGGCTTATTTAAATGAGCAATTCCTGAAGCACCTGTAGTCACTGAAAATAAGATGTGCTGCTGGGAGGACAGGGCTAACACTTATCTCACTAATGGAGTTGGATTAGAAGTCATTTACAGGCAGTGGTTAAGCTCTTTTCTATTTTTTATGTACTTGAGTTTCTTATTCCTCTACATATTATTGAGACTTAGGATCCATACTCTGTTCTACCTGCTAATTTAGAACTGCATATTCCATGTTTGCAAGATCAATTCAATTAGTGCTTGAAAAGCAATCTGACTGATGCTGCCTCTGGTTAGTTGAGTTGCTTTAATTATGACAGAATATTTTGCTTCTACAAAATCAAAGGATGCCAAGATATCTTTTGCCCAACCACATGATTGTGGGCCCTCATTTAAGATCATATGTAAATCAATGGATGTGTAACTGATGTGATTCTGCAATCTGTGTATGGGGTGAAGGTGGGAGTTCATAACCCACTTGAATCAAAGTGTGGAATATGATATGTCAAGAAATTTGTAATGTTTTGAACAACGCACAATAAAAAATTAAAAAAAATAAAATAAAATAATTTCCCTAACGTTAAGAGAAGGTATTAATTACATGTCCACAAATCACTTGGTATATGGACATGTTTAAAATATCAAAATGATTGTTGAATAGCCATGAAAACAATAATTTTTAAATGCATGTGCAGTAACATTTCAGTTTCTAGAAAGATTTTCCCAGTTAGTGATTTTACACTGCCTAAAAATCTCCTCTGGCAGGGAGGATAGTATTTTTTAATCCCCATTTTGCAAATGAGGGAAACTGAGGTGCAAAAGTTTAATTACTTAAGTTCTCAAATTCTTCTAGTAAATTGCAGGCAGGCTACTGGATCTCCAGTCTTTGCCATAACATTTTGTGATGTTCCTCTATGGCACAAGGCCCCTTTCCATAAAGGAAATTTGTTGGGACACAAGAATATTTAGGAAGATGGCTACACAAGCATTTGGCTAAATATTTCAAACCCTCTTCAGTGTAGTTCAGTTGGTTAATGTTCAGTTTTATTGTAACTGGTTTCTGTTTCTCCATGATTCCTTTTTGTGAGCTGAATTTTCTTTTCTAACCCTTCACCCTTTAGGTCATTTTAGAGCTTTATGGTAATTTTCATATTCACTTCTGAAACTATTTTTATCAATCTTTTTTTGACTTGTCAAAACCGAATGTTCTAATGAACTATAATAATTTTTTGAGCTCTCTTAATAACACATATGTACCTTTCTCTGTACATATCTAAGATTATATCAGTGTCATTACCAGCACATACAACACCACAATCCACATACACACATACTTTAGAACAATATCTAAATCTCCTGTGGCCTCTGCACTTTCCTCTAGCCTATCCAACAACTCAATTTTATCAGATTGAGATATATTGTCACATAACTCCTGATGTCATGATGTCATGACTGTGAAGCATATATTAATCTACTACCTCCCATGGTGAAGAAAAGATGCAAGTCTGGGATAGACAGATGGAGTTGGAAAGAGGAAGAGGGAGAAGGAAAGGGGGAGGGGTGGGAGGGGGAGAGAGAGAGAGAGAGAGAGAGAGAGAGAGAGAGAGAAAGAGAAACAGAGACAGACATATGACCAGTCGGAAAAAGAAAAAAAAAAGACAGTATAATATAGATGTGATCTTGAGCCTACTATAAGGCTATTAATTAAATAAAGAATTCCTCCAAATCTAAAAAGTTGCTAAATTCTTCATCTTTAAAAGTAACACTATGAAGTAAAAATAAGATATGATATAAAGCTTTCCTCAGTAATATAAGGAAATCAGAGAATTTATAACTAGAATGAACTCAAAAGTCTTCTATTTACTATTTGAAACACAGTATTACTATATGAAATATAATATCTCATTGATTCCTTTAGGGTATTTTAATTTAAAAGGCAATACTATAGAAATCTTAATGTACAATAATACAGAGAAAGCAAGAACAAAAAGAAATGAAATTGTTGCATAAAAAATAAAAATATAGGGGCTGGAGTTGTGGCTCAGTGGTAGAGCACTTGCCTAGACTGTGTGAGGCACTGGGTTTGATCCCTGGCACTACATAAAAATAAACAAATAAAATAATTAAAGGTATTGCATCCATCTACAGCTAAAAAATATTTAAAAATATTTCATTCCCTTTAAAAAATAATAAAAATATAGCATAGCCCTCCAAAATATTCATATTTTTAAAATGTAAATATTGTCATCCTCTCATTTCTTGAGAAATGTTTAATCCCACTAATACTCCAATTTCCCCAGATGTCCCCAAATTTCCTTTACTGTAAGACTGTCCAAATCCCAAATGCATTTTATCTGGTTTTCAAGGACAGTTCCCTTTTCCTATCTCTTTTTTTTTTTGTTAATATTTAAAGAATTTTTTTTGAACAAATATCACTATAAAAATAAAGGATTAAAACAGAATTAAACTCAAAAAGATTGAAAATATCATTAAGAGCTTTACTTACCAAAAGAGAATAGTGACGTCCATTGTGTTCTAAAGCCTCAGAAAAGAAATCAGTATTGTGGTCCAGTCTCTGGTGTCCTCCATATTCTGCTGCATCTGAATCTAGCACAATTTTGAATGTTCATCTCTTAAGGAATTCACAACAGATTAGAAGTTGAAGGAGATATAAAATATGTTCTGAGAGAGCAATTTAGAAGTGAATATTCTGATACTGTTAAAATCATGATTGGTCTTATGTATCCATTTCTTGTCCAATATTGTAGAGATTCTCATGTCTAAAAGGGACTTTATAGCCTATGTAGTTAACATACCCATGAAATCCTTGTTATAATTCTATCACAGCTCATCTAGTGATCATCCAGCCTGGAACTGAATATCCCTATTAATAGTGAATCTTCTTTGTCTTAAAGCAACTCATTCTACTTGTTAAGAGATTCTTTTCCATATTGTATAGAAATTTAATTCCCTGGGATTATTTATACCTGCAAAAGGTATAAATAATAACTTTAGTATACAGTGACCTTTGAAATATTCAGTAATATCTATGCTAGTTCCATCTGTTCTTTAAATATATTACAAAATACATATTACTTTTAATCCTAGAACTTTTGATCATTCCTTATTTGATAGGGTTTTTTATTCCTTCCCCATCTCTGAATCCATTTTGGTTTTCTAGTCTCAGATTATCACTGTGAGGAACACATAATTGAGCAAAGTGGACATGCATGGCCTGAACAGTGAAGTCCTTGTTATGAACAGCACACTTCTATTAATGTAGCATGACCCAGTAAATGTACCAACCATCATGTCACAGGTGAATTCATTGGCAATCATGTGATCTGCTATAATTTAACATCTAATTTCTCATAGTGAATTGTTAATCATGCACCCATTATTTAAAATAAAATACATAAATAATACTGTATCATACACACACACACACACACACACACACACACATATATATATATCTATCTATCTATATATATATATATATATATATCTCACACTACTTAGAAATATTAAGTGTCTTCTAGCCTAAGGAGAGATACAGACGGGTTTAAATGCTTCCGCCCTCCACCTGGTTTATAAATTTTTTATTATCTTGGAAATGTTCATACATTTTCATTACAGCAAAATTATTACAATAATAGTCTGAGTAATGAACAATGACCCATCATTTTCATCTTTTCCAAACCTCTGGGTCAGAGATGCAGAGGGATACACCACAGAAAGGAACTTTTGCTGGAAGTAGTGGTTTCCATCTTAGTCAATCCAGGTCATCCTGCTCTGATTCAAACTGAAGCTGATCATCTGATTATCAATGTGTTTAAACAGAAGAATGAAGCCAGGTGCAGTGGCAGAAGGATCACTAGTTCCAAGCCAGCCTCAGCAACTTAGTGAGGCCCTAAGCAACTCAGCCAGACCCTGTCTCTAAGATAATGAATACAAAAAATGGTGAGATATGAATGGTGAAAATAAATAACTGGAGACAAAGTAAACAAATGAACATTGTGTAATGTGTAGATCCATCAAAATAAAAGTTTAGCTTTTGCCCATCCTTCTAGTTCACTAAATACTTGGGTTAATTTTCAAAACACAAAATACAGTTTAGAGATATGTCCTAGAAAACTTTTTTCTTAAAAGTATTGCATAAAAGTTATTAATTAATAAATTACTGGTTAATGACAGATTTTTTGGTTGTAATGGATAAATATGGAAAGTATATCTTCAAAAGTAATTCTCAACCTATGGATTAAGAATCACTACTTGGTAATTATGTGTTATTATAAAGTTCCCACTCAGTGAGTTAGGTTATTATAAGAGACATAAAAACTACATATGCATTGGAGATTGTCTGAAGACTAAATAAATTATGTTGTTACACCCATTTGCTATTAGGGTTTGAAAATTAGTCATCTTTGTATCTTTTTTTTTTTGGGAATTTTAGTATTTATTTTTTAGTTTTCGGTGGATACAACATCTTTGTTTGTATGTGATACTGAGGATCGAACCCGGGCCGCACGCATGCCAGGCGAGCGCGCTACCACTTGAGCCACATCCCCAGCCCTCATCTTTGTATCTTGCACAGTGCTTTTTACATTTTATGTACTTGGCAAATGAATGAGGGAAGAAAAATAATTTATTCTACTTTCTTAATATAAAAATTAATATATGTGTTTGTCACATATTTTTGATAATTAAACTGATAATTTGTTAAAATAACTGCAAAATTAATAAGTTTTTACTCATATTTTTTCAAAGGATACTGAAAAAATAATCATTACTTAAGGATCTATTTCTTTTTGACATTGAAAAGGATTATCATTTTGAAAATGGTTACAATTTATTCTCTCTATATATACACACAATTTATAGCTACAAAGAAAAATGCTATGAAAACCATAAAGTTTCAAACATCAGTTTAGACATATTTTTCTGATCTATAATTTAAAGAAAAAATTTTGCTGCCTACTTTTGGAATCACCAGTCCTATGTTCATATGACTCAGGAACACAATGGCTTCCTTTAGTAAATGCTATCCTTAAATTCAGAAATTTCAACAAAATAAAATACTAGATTAAATATAATAGTTGGGAAAGAGCTTTATAGTTATGAATTTTCTGAGTTTTCCAAAACACCTCATCTTTTTAGGGACAATGCTTAGAATTAGAACAAATGATTGTAAAGAGCTTATCTGAGCAACTAACTTTTTTGTTTTTCATGTCCTCTTACCCCAGTATTTTGTCACACCACATGAGTGTGTACATATGAGCATACATAAACAAACATATACCCATTAATGAAATCCACACAGCCTCAAGATGCCTATTTATCCCATTTCCACTAAAGAATATACAAAAAACAAAACAAAACTCAGAGATAATTTATAGTATCTCAAACTACTTTCTTAATATGGTTTCTAATAACATAGCACATAAAACTGTTAGCAGGACACCTCAACAGATTGTCATTGTCCATAGCTACCTCCCTATACCTAGCATAATTCCTTCTCATAAATGGTTCTCCATAAATTCTTGAAAGTGATATTTAGGATGAGCACCCTGACTCTTCAAGAAAGGTCAAGTCATATGTATTAATTTTTATATTAAGAAGGTAGAATAAATTATCTTTCTTTCCTCAATCAATTGCCAAGTACATAAAATATACAAGACACTGTGCAAGATACAAAGTTGACTAAGAGATGGTCTTAGTTAACATGCAATTAATAACCTGTAAGGGAAGTATTATTAGGCATACAATGAATGTCTGAAGTAGAGCAAACACAGGTATGCAGTGAAACAGAGAGTGGAGGAGAAAAGGCAGGACTAGCAGCTGGTACATAAACAGTTTTGAAGGTTGGACTAGGCTGAGAATACTTACTTTGTTAGTTTAAGTATAATGATGTTGAATATTCTTCAGAAAGGATATGGAAACCAAGAAAATTAACTCACATATACAGGCAAAGTAAAAAGAAGAGGAGAAAGACTAAATTAGGGAAACTAGAAATCCAAACAGTCCAAGGATAACAAGTATGGTTGAAGTATGATAGAGAATGTGGAGAGACATAAAAAGACCAAGATTGTGTGTCTCAGGAACAGTACTCAAAAGTAAGAAAACTGATATTCAATATAGTGAAAGAAGTGGGAGAAAGAACAGATTTGCTCAATGACAGGCAACTGGTTAAGTGGTATAGCTGGGATATACACATAAGTCCAATGGAGATCTGATTAGCTGACTTCCTATAAGCTACCTTCTGTATATGCTACCTGTTTTATGTCAAGAATCAGGCCTACTGTTTTCTTATGGAATTTCTTATTTAATTCTAAAGTTGAACTTCTCAACATGTTAAAACAGGCCAAAATGAATATTACCTGAGAAAAGCAGGGAGATGAGATAACATAATATTCACCTAAATTGTTAATGGAATCAAATTTAAAAGATTGGCATTCTAACATTACTTATGGAGTTAGGTTATCTGAGGCTTACCACAATTGTTTTATATCCATTCATTATTCATTGGGTTCATTTGATCATTTAAATTGGTAAATATAAAGTATTGAACCAAAAACTTTTCCTTACACATTTTGGAAAAATACTGTGGGAAAAGAATGCTATTTTTTTTTAATAGAAACTTATCTTTGATTTGAAAAAAGAAGATCAAATAGGCCCCTATCAATCTGGATAGCTTTTTAAAATATTATGATTTCTTAAATTTAAGACCTTCCTAAGTATTTGATATATCTACCAACAGGTTGAAGTAGATAAGAAATTTTAATCATTATTTTATAATCTATGTCCTTAAATTTGAACTAAGGAAGAGCCATGTTCTGAAGGAGGGCTGTACTAATAAGATTAAAGAACAGTGAAGGCATGAAGACTCTCAAATTCAATGGCTCTTCAAATACTTCAAAAGCTGCTGTGTTTGCTCAGTCACTTGATAAAGTGTCTGTGCGAAGTATAAGGATTTTGATGTAAGAAGTACTATCATTTATATCATTCTGCACTAAACTCACTTTATTTCCACTGATGAAGCTCAGAAAATTTACTGTAAGGTACGACCCCTGGAGTTTCAAACTGAGTGACAGAGAGGGCCTCTCCAGTGACAAGATGACGATAAAGATAGAAAAGCTGGTAGCTTATCATATATCTTCAAATCTAACATATCACCAATTTTAAGATGAATTGTTTTCTCTGTCACCAAAAAGAGAAAAATATATCACTACTGTGCCAATCATTGCAAGAAACATCCAAATTGAAGACGCACTAAAATGTGAAAAGATATAAAAATAATTTGTTAAATTTATATTCTATCTAGTTCTTTATCCAATCCTCAACCACACAATAACTTTTGGGTACTGAGTGATTTCAGGAGACAGAACTATACCAAAAGAAGAAAACAACATAGTCGATGTTCTAAGGACTGTTCTAACTGAAGTAACAGAACAAACATCTGGTGGAGTATGAGCAGGTCCTGGGAAGCAAAGAGAATTCTGTGATTTTAATTGGTTGAAGATAAATTTCCAGCACAGAGACTGTCACCATATTCTACCATAGTCTTTCCCTTTTTATGTTTCATGAGTTGAATTTTATTTATTGCCAACCACAATCCATAAAA